GCGGCGCTGCGCCCCGCTTCCGGCGCCAAGGCTGCGCGCAAATCGCTGTTCAGCGCCGAAAGCTTCTCGTCCAGCGCGGCCGCGTCCGCGTCGACGCCGGGAGACGCAGACGCGGGACCGGCGGGCGTCGTCGCGGCGATGAACATTTCGCGCAGAGCGCCGCTCGGCTTCAGCTCTTTGTGACGCGTGCACAGGTGGTAGAGCAGCTGCGAGACTTTCGCGAAGCTGTGTGCGCAGCGGGGATAGCCTGCGCGCAACAGCGGCTCGGGAACCTTGCACGCGTACTGCTTCCGGTGCACGCGCTTGCAGTGCTTGTTCAGCTCGAACTGGAACTGCCACGCTTTGTCGCACAGCGCGCAGCGGAAGTTCCGCGGCTGCGCGAGCCGCGCGGGGTCGTGCGCGCGCGCGTAGTGCCGCTTCAGCCCGTCCTTCCGCGCAAAGTTCCGTTCACACGCCTCGCAGGAGTACCGCATCGCGGTGCTCTCGCGATATTGCGCTAGGAAAAATAATGCTCGTCGATATTCGACATCGGCACGGTCTCTGTTCGCGGCTTGCGGTGCTGCCGCACTATGCTAACTAAAACGGCGCCAATCACGGCGGAGAAGAGCAACATGCAGGTTGCGAAAATTGTCGCGAGCGCGTACAACTGCTTCGGCTCGCGCGGCGGCGCCACGAAGTTGCGCATTTCTTGCTGCAGCAGCTCCGCATAGGTGCGCAGCGCGGCCGCCAGCCGGAAGCGCAGCTCCACGCCCTGCGAGAGCTTGATCGCGTAGCCGCCGAGCTTCGTGCTGACCAGCGGCAGCACGTGCGCTCGCACCGCGGGGCCCAGCCGCGCGTTCAGCCAGAGCGAGCCGTTCGCGCTCTGCTGCGCGGTGAGCAGCAGCGACGCGTCGCACTCGTGCTTTAGCCGCGTCGCCATCGACTTGTGGTCTAGCGGCCACATGTTGTACATGCGCTCGCTGACCACTTCCGGGTCTTCTTTGTTGCCCGGGCCAATCACCAGCACGCCGAGTTTCACGGGTTGCGCGCCCGCGCACGCGGTCCGGATGCGCGCGCTCGCGAGCGCGTGCAACTGCGTGCCGAGCTCCGACAAGTCTTGCTGCTTGAGCAACCAGTCGGGGTCGCAAAACTGTCCTGCGCTCTTGAGCGCCTCCGGCGCGTGGCAGAGTGCGTCGTTGCCCACTAGGTCGTTCGTGTGCCAGTTCGAGGTTTTGGCGATCAGTGCGAGCGACGCGAGCGTGTCCCGCTCGCGCTTGACGGCGGCGCCGTTCGCGCCAAGGTTCTGCGCACTATTGTGCTCTTCGTCTGCCGCGCCGTTCGCGCCAAGGTTCTGCGCACTATTGTGCTTTTCGTCTGCCGCGCCGTTCGCGCCAAGGCTCTGCGCACTATTGTGCTCTTCGTCTGCCGCGCCGTCTGCCGCGCCGTCCGCCGCCGGCGACCCCGCTGGTGGCTTTCCCGTTAGCTGTTCGGACGCTTTTTTGGCCGCGCTGTCGCGGGTAGCTTCTGCGACGGTTTGTTTGGCGGATTTGCCGGTCGCTTTGTCGTCTAGCGCGAGGAATGGGTTTTGGTCCGCCGCGTCTTCCGGATCATCGTAGCCGGAGGTCGAGAAAAAGTAGTGGCGCAGCGCTGCGGCGACGGCCGCGCCGGGCTTCTGCTCATATTTCATTTATGTAATTTGATCGGCCATTTAGCGCCTTTTCGCCAATTAATCAGAGCGCATTTTAGATCGTCGAATTGTGTGTTTATATGTTCGCAGCGTCCTTCGGAGCCGATGAGCCAGGTGTGGAATCATTGGCAGAAGAACACGTTTCGCCGAAAAAAGCGGCCGCAGGACACGGACGAGGAAGACGAACTCGACGCGACGGAGCCGCTGACGCGCGCCGAAGGCGGCGTGGCCCGCCGCGCGTTCGATAAAAAGCCAAAGCGGAAATTTGCGGCGCCGCTGGTGGCGCACACAGCGAGCCGCGATTCCGCCGCGACCACGGAGTCGGCTTCCGAGGCTGGCCCGCGGACGCTGGAGCACTACGCCATCCCGCTGGACTTCAGCTCTGCGGCGGACCTGTTCTGCAGCGAAGCCGAGCGACAGCGCGCGAAAGACAGGCGCGCGCGCGGCGCGCCGGCGCGCGGCGGCGTTCCGGAGAGCCCCGGCAGCGAGCTCGACGCGGCGGTGCGCAGCATCCTCGAGGCGCACCGCGACCTCAGCGAGAGCCACGTGAAGCAGATCTTGGCGTGCCAGCTGCCGGCGGACCACCTGAACGTCCGCGAAGAAGACATCGCAGGGCTGCAGGACGTCAAGCGGCTGATCAAGAACAAAGTGATGCGGCCGCTGCTGCGACCGGAGGTGCACCGCGGGTTGTACCAGCCGAGCAGCGGCATTCTGTTCTTCGGCCCGCCGGGCACGGGCAAAACGACGCTGGCGAAGTGGATTGCGAGCGAGAGCCAAGCGGCGTTCTTCTGCATCACGCCGTCCACGCTGACGAGCAAGTTCTACGGCGAAAGCGAGACGCTGGTCAGCGCGCTGTTCGCGGTCGCCGCGCGGCTCGCGCCCTCGATCATCTTCATCGACGAAATCGACTCGGTGCTCAGCAAGCGCAACGAGAAGGAAGAAGAGTCGACCACGCGCATGAAGAACCAGCTGCTCACGATGATGGACGGGCTGAACACGCCGGACGACAAGTTCATCGTCGTGATCGGCGCGACCAACCGGCCCGAAGCGCTGGACGACGCCGGCATGCGCCGGCTGAGCAAGCGCGTCTACATCCCGCTGCCCGACGCAGAGTCGATTGCGCAGCAAATCCGCGCGATCCTGAAGCACCACGCGCAGTCGATGGACATTCCGTTCGTCGACGACCTCGAGTGGGTCGCGGCGTACGCGCAAAAGCTCGTCGGCTTCAACGGCAGCGACATCCGCAACCTGTGCATGAAGGCCGCAGAGGTCGTGTACGAGTCGGTGATCGAGGGCATCGAGGGCGACATCAACATGCTTTCGCAGAGCGCTTTCTGGCTGCCGGGCGAGCAAGACTTCGAGCTGGCGTACCAGTCCATCGCGCCGCTTGTCTCCAACCTGCCGCAGTCTGCGGAAAAGTGGGCGCAGCAGTACAGCCGTTTCTCGTCGGACTGACGCGGCCGCGCGTTCACGAGTCGCTCGCGAGCAGCCGGTAGAAGTCGAGCGGCAGGTGGCCCGTGAACGGCTTGTGCACCTGCAACGAACACTCCTTCACGAGCTTCTCGAGCTCGTTGCTGCAGAAGAAGGTCGGCTGTCCGTTGTTGTTCAACAACCGATTGAGCGCGGCGGCGCTGTTGCCGAAGCACAGCTTTTCGACGGTCGCGCTGAAGCGGCACTGCTGGCGCACGGTCGAGCAGCTGATCAGCCGGAACACGCTGAGCACCTTGCAGATCGTGCGCAGCAAGGACAAGCCCTGCGGAGCGGCTGCGTGGACTTACTTTGCGCCGGGGGTTCTCGCTCATCAGATTCACGTAGAGCTGCAGCGGCACGCTGGCGAGATGTGCCCACTGCTCCGGCACGCCTTCGTAGCGCGTGCCCAGCCAGAGCTGGTCGTTAATCTGCAGCGCGAAGTACGAGTGCGTCTCACCGCTCAAGAGCGTCGGACTGATTGCGTAGATGCGCAGCAGCTCGTTCAGCAGAATTTGTCGACGCATCTTCACTTCGATCGACAGAAACTCGAGCGTCTGCGCGATGTTCGAGCTCTGCGCGGCCGACTTTCCCGGTTGCAACGCCTCGCGCGACTCGCAGCCAGCCGCGCTTGCGTCAGTAACCGCAGGGACGTCGGCAGGCGCCAGCGAGTCTTCTGCGGGGTCTGGCGGCGCAGACGCGTCGCTCTCGCTCGCGGAGACGCCGCCGCTGACTGCGCAGGCAGCTGCGTCGCGCGCTGAGGCGGCCGCGAGCGCGGAGCGCGCCACGTAGAGCAGCCGGTCGCCGAGCTTTACGCAGAGGGCGGCGCGATCAGACATCTGCCGCAGCTAGCACGGTGCCTTTGGCGGCGTTTTATCGCATTTAATATTTCGCAGCTTTACGAGGAGCGATTTTGGCCGCCCGCGAGCGCTTTACTTCTGCTGACGCGGAGCATCGGATGGAGAGCAAGCAGAGCGACAGAGGCGCGGAGCCGCTGCTTGAGAGCGAAGAGTACCAGTTCCCTGAGCCTGACGCCGCGCTGCCGACGGTGCTGCTGGTCGGCGGCATGGCGGGCACCGGGAAGTCGACGCTGATCGGCAGTCTCTGCCACACGTTGCAGGAGCGGCGGCAGAAGCGCTGCTACGTCATCAACCTGGACCCTGCGGCGCTGCACTTCCCGTACAAGGCGCACGTGGACATCCGAGCGACGGTGAAGTACCGCAAAGTCATGAAGAAGTACAACCTCGGCCCGAACGGCGCGATTCTGACTGCGCTGAACCTATACGCGACCAAATTCGAGCAGTTGCTCGCGATCCTGAAGCAGCGCGAGCACGAGTTCGACTTCGTGCTCGTCGATACGCCCGGCCAGATCGAGGTGCTCAACTGGAGCGCGAGCGGCGCGATCATTCTGAGTCTGCTGGCCTCGCAGTATCCGACCGTCGCGCTGTACACGATGGACTCGAGCCGCTGCGCGAAGCCCGTGGTGTTCGTCTCGAACCTGCTGTTCTCGACCGCGCTGAACTGTCGGCTGTTCGTGCCAGTCCTCAACGTGCTGACGAAGGCGGACCTCGGCGACGCCGCGGAGCTGCTCGCGCTCGTTGCCGACCCGCTCGCGTTCGTGGCCAAGGCAGACCAGGCCGAGCACGAAGACTTCGCCGTCTCGCTGAGCAAGTCCGTCGCGCTGCACCTCGGCCGCTTTTACCAGGACGCGCCGTTCGTCGCGGTCTCCGTCGACGCGGAGACTGCGGAGCTACACAACGTGGACGCGTTCCTCGCGCGCGTCGCGGACGCGCGCGCGACGTACTTTGCGGAGTACCTGCCGAAGCTGCGCGCGTCGCGCGACGCGCAGAGCGCGCAGCGCGATGCGGCCGCCGCGCGGAACCTCGCGCGCTTCGAAGAGGAGTGCGCCGTCGCGGCGAGCTCTGATCAGGAGTGAATTTGTTTTATTAATATTTTGAATCGCCGCAACTCCCATGCAAGCTTCGGGCGGAGGCTACGACCTCGACGTGTGCTGCTTCAGCCAGGACGGCAAGCTGCACCAGATCGACTACGCGCAAAAGTGCGTGGCGAACGGCAGCCTCGTGTTGGGCGTCACGTGCGTGGACGGCGTGGTCATCGGCGCTGCGAAAACGCCGCTCTCGAGTTTGGCGCTGCCGACGAGCGGCTCGCGGCTGCACAAAGTCAGCAGCAACGTGATCGCGGCGGTCGCCGGCTCGAAGCCCGACGGGCACCGGCTGGTGCATATCCTGCGCAACGAGTGCGCGGCGTTCAGCGCGGAGTGGGGCGCGCCGATCACTGGCAAGCGCGCCGCCGAGACGCTCGGCTACGAGATGCACGAGCACACGTGCTACTGGAGCTACCGGCCGTTCGGCTGCGGCGTGCTGCTCGGCGTCGCGAACCGCCAGCGCGTGCCGCAGAAGCCGCTCTCGCTGTTCGCGGAGGAAGCGACCGCGTTCGAGGCGGAGCGGCCGGCAGACGACTTCGGGCTGTGGCTCGTGTCGCCCTCGGGCGCAGTGTTCGCGTACCGCGCCGTCGCGCAAGGCGCCGGCTCGAGTTCCGCGCGCAGCGCGCTGCAAGCGCTGCCCTACGCGTCGCTCACCTGCGCCGAGGCGCTCGAAAAACTGGCGTACATTATGGTCGAGCAGCGCCACGAAAACTTCGCGGAGCGCAAGCAAGTGCTCGAATTCATGAGCTTCGACAGCTCTGGGCGCATCGAGCGGCTCTCCGCCGAGCGCTGCGACGCGCTGCTGAAGGCCGCGGAGGACGCATTCGAGCGCAAAATGGACGCGTAGCCTCACACCGCGCCGTCTTCCACAGCGGTCTTGTAATTGCATAACTTGAGCTTCGCGGGCGCCGGCCGGCCCCAGCCGCACAGCGCGCAGCGCTCGCTCTCCGCGCCGCTGCAGAAGCCGCAGAGCTGGCACTGCTGCAGCGCGTCGGCCGGCCGCAGAACGCCGCTGGCGAAGCATACCGTCGCGCGCGTGGCCGCGCGCACGTCCGCGAGCTCGCACGCATTGCGCGCCGCCGTTAGACACTTGTGCAGACACTTTGTCGCAAGCGCGGCGAGCGGCTCGGATCCCGGATAGCGCTCGGTCGCGAGCTGCATGAGCTGCCCGGCGCTCAGGAAACACTCGGCGGCGATCAGCGCGCGCGTCGCGCGCGTGACGACCAGCGCGTAGTGCGCCTCGCTCAGCGCCGACTCGTGCAGCGCCGCAAACAGCCGGTGGCAGGCGGCCACGTCGAGCGGCTTCTGGCCGCTCTGCGCTTTGCTGAGCTGGAGCACCTCGACCGCCGGCGCCACGCACGCGTAGCACGCGCACGCGAGCCGCAGCTCTGCAAACCGTGCGCTCTCCGGCGGGCGCACTTCGAAGGTCAGGCTCTTGAGCAGCGCCGCGCGCGCGGCGACGACGCACTCGCGCAGCCGCTTCTGCGCGAAAAGCGCCCGCACGTCGTGCAGCGCGTGCTGCAGCTGCGCGAGCTGTGAGCTCGGCGCGAAGGAGAGGATCGCGCGACCCAGCGACTTGCCGAAGGCGACGCTGCCCGCGAACTTCAGCGAGGCCGGCACCGGCCCGAAGCCGACCGAGCGCGCGTGCTGCCGAAACATCTCGTACAGCAGCGGCTTCAGCGCGCGGCGGCCCGCCGCGCTCAGCGGCACCATTTGCTCGAGCATCTGCAAGCCTTCCGCGAAGTGCCCGACCTTGAAGTAGTCCAGGTAGGTCGCCTGGCTGGTCGCGAGCTGCAGCGAGGGCGAGAGCCGGTACAGCGCGGCCGTGTCAATGATCTCGAGGTCCTCGCTGAGGTCGAACTCGCTGTCGTCGTCCCAGCAGTCCTGCGGCGCGCTGCGCGCCTCTTCCGCGTCAGCGAGCTTCGCCGCGGACGGCTGCTCGCGCGCCGCGCCGCGCGCGGCGACTGCGTCCGCGCCGCGACGCACCGCAGACTTCAGCGCGGCGGCCGCGTCGTCGCTCTCCGTCGTCAGGTCGCGCAGACACACGTTCAGCGAACAGCACAGCGGCGGGTAGAGCAGCTCGTCGTCCGCCGCGTCGAGCTCCGCGTCGACCGCCGCGCGCACCGCCGCCGGCAGCCGCTGCAGCTGCTGCAGCGTCGCCGCGTCGAGCGCAAGCGCGCCCGGCGCGTAGCGTTTGTACGCCGCGTACGCCGCGGCGGGGAAGTTCATGCCGAGCATCGCGCGCACGTAGTTCTCGACGTCGCACGCAACCATTGCCGCGTTGCAAGCTTCGGCGTGCTTCTGCGCTGCGTTCAGCGTCGCGCTCATCCCGCGTACCGCGCGCGCGTCGCCCGAGAGCGCGAGCAGCTGCACCAACGCGCCGACGTTCTGCCGGTCGCGGTACAGCTCGATCGCGAGGCTCAGCCGCCCGCGCGCGAGCGCCGCACGCTCCACGTGCGCCGACCAGACGCCCAGCTCCGCCGCGCCGCGGCGCCCACGCTGCTGCTCCTTCAGCAGCTCCGCGGCGACGCCGGGCAGCCCCGCCGCGAGCGCCAGCTGGATCTTGTACGCGCCGTTCTGCACGAAGTGGAACGCCACGTCGCCGTAGCCCGCGTCCAGCAGCGGCTGCAGCCAGGCCTCGCCGACCGGCGCGCACTCGCTGAGCTCGCGCACGACCTCGTGCTTCGGCCGCACGCCGATGGTCGCCTGCAGGTGCGCAAAGAACAGCGACACGGTGTAAGTCTCGACTTCGAGCAGCGCGTTGACCAGCGTACACTCCGCCTCGAAGTTCTCGCGCTGCCGCACGTCGACGATCGCGCGCTCGAGCGTCTGGTTCGCGAAGCTCTTCAGACTGCGCGAGCGCTGCGTCTTCGCGAAGTACACGTGCAGCCCCGCGCACGTGACAAACAAGAACGTGTCGCCGTCGAGCCACAGGCCGTCCGACGCGAGCGGTGCGCGGCCGTGCGCTTTGAACGCGTGCAGGTCCAGCAGCGCGGAGCTCTCTTCGTCGACCAGCACGCAGTAGCGCGCCTGCGCCGCGTTGTTCAGCCGCTTCTTGTGGCACGCGGCCAGACTGCGCAGCCCGAGGTTCGCGATGTCCGCGACGCGCCGCTGCTGCGCGACGTCGAACAGGCAGGCGCTGCCGTCGCTCTGCAAGAACAGAAACGTGGTGCCGCCCACGCAGCGCACCGCGCGCACTGGCGCGACCGGGAACTCGAGCGGCTCTGTGCTCGCGAGCGTCAGATCGTCGGCCACCGTCACGAACTCGAAACTTTGCGCGCGCGCAAACACGACGAACCGATTGCGCGAGAGCCACGCGGCGGACAGCGCCGCGTACGCCTTGAGCACCTTGACGCTCGGCGCGCCCGCGGCGTCCGCCCAGCTGGCAGTCGTGCTCTGCACCGCGAGCAGGCTGATTGTCAGCGCGCCCGCGCCCGCGCCCCCACCCGCTTCGCGCTCGCCCTTCGCGCTCTTGGCGAGCGAGACGTGCGCGCGCTGCGTCACCAGCAGCAGCAGCGTCTTGTTGTTGACGAACGAGCTCTGCAGCTCGAGAATCGGCGCCGCGAAGCCGAAGCGCAGCGCGGCGGGCAGCGTGAACGCGGCGAACGGCTCGCAAGAGTCCGCGCGCTTCAGCACGAGCTGCGCAGCGGCCGCGTCGACCAGCGCGACGAGCTTCGTCTCGCCGTGCGCGAACGCGTGGTGCGGCACGCGGCTCGGGAACGCGGTCAAGATCTGCGTGCCCGAGTCGCTGCCCGCAGCGAACGTGTGCGAGCCGTTCAAAAAGTTGATCGCCCAGAAACAGTCGCCGTTGCTCGTGAACACGTCCAGACACACCGTTTTCGAGTAGTCCCATAGCCGCACCGAACCGTCCTCCGAGCAGCTCGCGAGCACCGGAAACGCGTGGTGGAAAGCGACCGCGCTTACGTTGTTCTGGTGCCCGTACAGCACGTTCTGCAAGACCAGCCCGGCCTTCTGCACGCGCCAGAGCTTAATCAACCGGTCGTCGCTCGCGCTCGCCAGCAGCTCGCCGTCGCGGCTGAAGCAGATCTGGTTGACGCCGCGCGTGTGCGCCTGCTCGCAGGCCACGCACTCAATGTCCGTGCTGATCAACGACTCCAGCGCGCGGAAACCGCGTTCGCTGCCCAGCGCCGCGCCGGAGCTCGCCGCCGGCGCCGCCACGCAGTTCGTGCGCCGCTTGAGCTCCGAGAAGTCCCACAGCCGCACCGAGCCGTCGAGCGAGCAGCTCGCAAACAGGTCGGCGCACGGCGAGAAGCGCGCGCTCATGATGTAGTGCGAGTGCCCTCCGACCACGCCGATCGTTTGTCGGCTCTGCCAGTTCCACACGCGCGTCGTGCCGTCGTCGCCCGCCGACAGGATCCAGGGCAGCGTCGCGTGGAACGCGACCGACCGCACGTAGTCCGTGTGCCCCTGCAGCTTGAACAGCTGCTTGCGCTGCAAGTAATCGTGCACAATTACGTTGGTGTCGTCGCCACCCGACACAAACATCGGCAGGTACGGGTGGATCGAAATCGAACGCACCGGCCCCGCGTGCGCCTTGAAAGTCGTCACCAACGCGCC